TTATATCGAAGTTTTCAATCACAATGCTCTTGTATTCCAATTGATGGGCTTACACGATCTGAACTTTGGAGTGCGCTGAAGGTTTTTGGAAGCTGTAAATGCAACGCCAATGGCTCAAATAATTTGGTGTCAAAACACTGTACCTTAATCCATGATTGTGTGGTTATGGAAAATGTGGCAGCGCGTGGCGATGGAACTACACGTCCATCAAGATGGACAGATCTGATGTGGGACCCTTGTCTCAAAGCTACAACAGCCGTCAGATTGTAGAGGCTACGTCCAGACCAAAATGAAGACGATCGCTCATTCTAAGGGTTAACTATTATCCATCAAGTCCCGATTTGCATTTTAAACTTTCAATTGCAACATTTAAATACCATATATTATGTAGGACCCAAAAAAAATACTATAAATTATAAACTTATGTGGTGCATTACTCTAGCTGAGTAAAAGCCATGAGTTCTATTGCGATATAAATGAAAACACAGTCATTTGAAGAATACCTTTTTTTTGGATTGTATTGAGAGAATACTTTTGAACGAAAAAACTTTAGTCCTTGGGTTTTTTGTTAACGGCGCATGGGCATTTGTTAACATATTTGCATTTACCAAACCTACTATGTATATACAAATAATAATTATTATTATTCTTCCTTGTATTTATATATTCTTTCTATTTAATCTTACATACCATATATTGTATTTATTTACATTTCCTAATTAATTTTATCTTTCTAAAAATATGACACCTAAAAATATATTTACCGGGTGCCCGTAGGGTACCTGTTAGATAGATCCTTAGTCCTTTAGTTCTTGCAATATATTTGATTGAAAAGACTCCCTTCAGTCCTTTTGATGAAAAGTTTTAAAAAAATAATTAGAAATTTTGTTAAATTGTGAATTTTTTTTAATGTAAGACTGTAAGTGAATTCTTTCAAATCCGAAATCTCTCACTTACACGCTGTCCTCAACTACTCTACCCATATCTTCTCCCAGTCATTAATTTAAACAGTGCAAAAAGTACTATGAATACTATGATATAAAGTCATATGGAGTTAAAATTAATGGTTTAGGAGACAAATAACAAATTTCTAACAGCTCAGGAACAATTCTAATTAGGGCGGTCGTAAAACTACCATTATATTATTGAGATCAAAGGGATTCCGGGTTATTAAATAGGGTAACAGAACAGGCTGTGGTGGAAGTGTTCAGAGAGTTTCTTTTAAGGCCCAATATTCTTCTTGGGATTGGTGGCAAAAAGAACTCAAGTCTCCCTATATATACATGCCATCCCTTCGTCTTCCCCTATACCTACAAATCTCTCTCTCTCTCTCTCTCTCTATACTGGTACTACTAGTGTCTTTACAGTAAAACACTCGTCTCTTTTGTCATACAGAAAAAACCCTTTTAGGGTTAGATCCGATATTGCGTGCTTAGAGCCAGTTAGATATGGTCCTCTTCGTCTTATTCCACAGCTTTCTTGAACTGCATCTGGCTTTATCACTCCATGAATATGATTCTTGCGAGACTTCGGTGGAGGTGACGCGATGATGGCGGTTCAATAAAGCTGTGGGATGATACTAATAGGATCAACAAACTTCTCGCTCCGATTTTTTGGCTTTAGTTTTTAACTGCATGATATCTCAGGTTTTGTTTCTTTTTTCTCTTTTTTTTTTTTCTGGCTTTCCCCTTCGTGTTCACGACAATAGTCACCGGCGTCTATAGTCTGGCCCGGAACCTGTAGATGCAGGTTTTGGATACTACAATATATACGTAGATGTCCTATGTTGTATAACCACAGAATTATTAGATTCTCAGCCTTTGACTTTTCCATCCTGCGAGGGAATGTTTTGTTTTTGTATGAAGCTAAATAGTTTCTCCCGTTATCAGTTATGTTCATCTGCAGCTTTTACCCCTCGAGACTAGCAGACTCGTGATCAGATCGTTTGATGTTCTGCAGATGAGATGAGGTAGCTTGTATTTGATGTTTAATTCAAAAGCTAATGCTCTTTATTTTATTTTTTCTTTGATAGCATACAACCATATAAATTAGGAATCAATTCTTGTTACAAAGTGCTCTCTAGGAACTTCCATAAATGGTTGACTATGTTTTCGTGAACAAAAATATGGTCTCACATTCGAGCAAACAATTAGATTTAGCAGGATATCAGATTTTTTTTTTTTTTAAAGTACATGATCCAAGATGGTCTTTTGGTGATATCTGTAGTCCCGCTTTTGGGATCCATTTCAGGCAGGCAACTGTCTCCATGGTTTAGATAGTTCTCCGCTCTGGTATGTATTCTCATCGACAGCTCATCTTTGGTCTGCTCATGAATTTTTTCTTCGTTCAATCAAATAGATTCACCGGGGGGTAATGCCTAATTACCCCTTTCTATTATCTTTATTATTTATTTATTTATTTGTTGTGGGTAGGAGGGGGAAGGGGGTGCAACAAGGGGTTGAGGTAAGGGAAAGAACTTTAATGATGCTTATTGGTCACCATTAAAATTATGTGTGATTTATAAGTTTTTAGGCCCTTCAATTTTATACAAGGACCACAAGGTTTGCATTGCCTTCTTTCATGTATGTAACTACCAATTCAGTTTTAGACTGGCTCATACATTAAGGTTATTCGTATGAATTCTGATAAAGCATTATTTGGAGACTTGGGTCTGATAATTTTTAGCCAAATCGATTTACTGCGTTATTTATGGACAATGGTTTCACCTAGGAAAAGAAAAAACCTGGTCAAATTAATGTTGCAGGAGAAAAGGGTTAAAAGAAAATTAGGGTTTTTTCCAAGTCCGGATGAAACGACACAAATACCACATTGTATTATTGCCTTATTTGAGCTGACATGCCTGAAGATCGTATCCCTGTTTCCTGGGTACGTTCGTTGAAGGTGTAAGCAAATAAGTCATCCATGTAATTAAATGTGTATTCAAGCACCAGTTACAGAGCTTGGGAAAGATCTACATCTTCTTTCTTGAAAAAAAAAAAAAACAGTAGAATCTGTGCATGGCACACTTGCAGAATTCTCCCATGTCCATTGCATCATCAGTCAAAAACCCAACCTGCAAACACTAGGCTGTCTAAACTTAACTAACAAAATTTGGTGGGTAAGTTATGAAAAATATTTTATGCTCCGATCCGGCCTGCAACAACATCAAAATTTTACTTGTGAGAATTGCGAGTCCTCCTGCATTACTGTGTTAGGCAGTATTATGTTAGAATCTATTTCTGTCATTTGTTCCGGTCTATGCTGGCATGGAAAGAGCAAGTCTCTTATAAAAATTTTCCGTTCTGTCATCGTAAGAGGATGGATCTCTACAATTCGTGCTGTAATAAATAGATAAAAGGGAAGAATACCGGTTCCCTGTCATGGATGGTTGTCTTCTGCCCCAACAAATTCAATCGGCTGCGTCTCCATTCACTTGTTTTAATTGGCTTCTGAGGCTCGTAGCTAATTCTTGTGTACTTTTATGATATGATGCATGGGATCGATGAAGCACCCACCACATGTGGTGAGCTACTATTACTTTATGAACTGTGTTTCCGGTAAATTGCAATCTCTATGAACTGTGTATAAATGGCCATGCTTTTGTTTGGTGGTAATAAGCATGTTGGTCCAAAGGTAAGCATGGGGGTTCAACATGTAATTAATTAAGGTTTGAAATCACCCACCGCATATCCAGGTCAAAAAGTTGCCATTTATTTGTCTGATACGCCATCTAATCGTGCTTTTGGCTCTGGAGCCTCGGGTGATGAAAAGTTAGGATTAGACACCATTGTCGACCCTTAATTAATGGGTGTCAAAAAAGCAGCCAGCGGAAGCCAAGAAGGCATCATCTCTCAGAATGTCAATGAAATTTTACGATCGAATCAAAGTCAAACCCATTATGATTGATTAATTGTTACTCCTCCAATTTTATATCCTACCATGAATTTGATGCTGTTTGTTCTGTGGTCAAATCAACAAATAGCCCACAAAAAAAAAAAAAAAAAAACCAGGTAGGTAAAGATGATTAATTGCACGACGTTCCTTGAATAATTATATTTACGTGTATACGCTGTTAGTTAGTGTTGGATGAATGATAATAATTATGCAAAATTCAATTTTTGCACACATATCATCATGAATCAAATGGTAATAGTATATATTTATTAACAAAAAAAAAAAAAAAAAAAGAGGAGGGGGGAGGTGGGGGATGGGGATTGATTTCGCAATGACGGAGAATTAAAGTGGCTGATTCCATCAACATAGTGAGTGGCATTAACGTTGTGGCACTTTCGCATGAAAGAGGAAGAGGTGGCCTTGGTTAAGAATTCACGTGTCTTCCCGGATAAAGATCTCTAACAACACAAGTGGTAGTTGCATTGCTAATAGCGACAGCACTATTCTGTTGATCCGGCATTTCGGGACGGAATCATTGCTTCTTCTTTGGTTGTTTCTCTTTCTCTCCAAGCAAGTGTTGTTGTTTTTTTTTTTTTTTTTATATTAAAAAAAAAAAAAACCGAAAGGAACGTGTGATACTCTCAGTAAGTAAGTTCTTATTCTACATGTGTGGTGGGCGACACACTTGAATATTCTGGGTGAAGTACGTACGTATTCTATTTTATTGCCCCATCTATTTAGTTTTCGTTTTCGTTTTATTATTATTATTTTTATATAGATTTATACTTCTTCTGAAAAAGCCCTCCCATTTAATTTATGATGAATGAATACACTTCTTCGTCCGTACGTAATGGAATCCCTTTTGGTTTGCAGCAATTCATTGTTGAAGAAGAAGGGGAGAACTCTTCTGGGTCGAAGAAGCTGAGAGAAGCATATATTGATGTACGTACATTGGCCCCTTTCCCCGCCCCTTGATTATTTGTCCGTACATTGGCCTCTTCCTCCAATTATTTTCTCATCATTGGTACGTACTCATATGAAGAAGAGGTACCCATTGCATTGCATTGCATTGCTGCATAAAAATTTAATCACATGTGATCTGTCTCTTTGTAGAATTGTTTGGTAATACATTAATTTCCAACTTCTTCATACATACAGCTCATCAGATTAGATGAACTATAAATGATTCACCAATAATGCGACCGTGCACGATCCACGCCACGGTCTTATTAACTCTGAGGTAGCCAATACAGTATATATTAATGTAAAGCACTGTTAGGAGGAGCAGAAATATGTCGCAACCCCAAGTCATATTGTCCCAAGAAAGCAGCCAATTCAGGGCCGCCATCAATTTCTGCTGAAGGCTAATTAATGCCCTTATTGTGCTTAGTTATGCTGCTGGATTTATTAATGCAAAACTACGATGAACTCCATTAGCCTCATAAACACAATAATGTTAAAGTAACACAAGCCGATCGAGACTGAGCATCATCAGAGAGAGAGAGAGAGAGAGAGAGAGAGAGAAGCATTGAGAAACAAAACTACATGCATGGACTGACAAACAAGACGAGAGAAACAGAAAGAGAAATCAGGCCAAACGTGAATCTTTCTTTTCCATCTTCTTGAAAATGTTGCTACTCCCCTATATGCGGAATACAAAAAACAAGTCTGTTGACATTAGGACATTTTAGAGAAATCATTTCCAGCATCCGAAGATCACGGTTAGGGGAAAAAAGTGTCCACAAGTCTAAAATATGCTGCGCCTGATGTTACAGAAACTGCACGGTAGGTTTTTATAATTAGCATTTGATGGAGATTCAACAACGCTCATTATCCATTCGTGCTTTCGATTCAACACCTGTGCCAAACAAAGAACAACATTTGATGACCAGTAGTCTAGATGGCTGGAGTTAACTTGCCATTTCTGTCCGTCGATAATGGGGCATAAGGACAGACTTATGCCATAGCTCCTTGCACCAAGTGATTGAATTTATTAAAGCATTACATCATTGATGTGGATTCGTAGCTGGATTTTGTATGCCATGGGGAATGTGGGACATACACTTTTAGATTTGTTGCAAAAAAAGCCAATCGATCGGTAATAAAACTTCGACCTGAAATAGATAAGCCAATGAGGATTCTATGGCACCCTTAAAACGTAATCTCTTGATTGGCTTTGAAAGCCGTTTGCCTGAATAAAGCTCGAAACTTCGTCAGCAAATTGTAACCAAACAACCACTTAACCATTTAGATGCAGACTACCTTCTCATTCTAGTTGGCACCTAGAAAGGATGGTCTACATGGTCTAATAAGAAACTCTGATGTTGGCCAAGTTTTTCAGAGAAAGCGGCATTGTAAGTCTCTGCTCTCTGGAAAGGTATATGATTTTGATTCATGTTCTTAATTTAAATTTGCAAACAAGTTATATCATAGAATCTTCCTCTCATATTGAAACCATTTTCAAGACGTTCTTCATGAAAATGGACATACACATGCTACGGCTATACTACGTTTTAGTTGTACAGAACCAGTCCTTCCCCGCTCTCAGGTCCTTGCTTTGAGTACTTTCTAAGCCACTATTGGTGAACTAACTAGTCTGAGCAACTAGCTTTTAGAGTAAACTTGCTAATTAGTTTTGGTTACAAGTGAAGAATGGTTTTAAAGTTCTATGTTATAGTTTGATCCTTTAGGCTTTGACCTATGCAGTTTTGGTCCGTTTTGATCGAGTTTCTCTTGATATGATTGTGAAAAACTCACTCCGAGCAGTGTTTTTGTTAGTTGTTACCAATCAAAACAGTAGAAACCACAGTCCAATGGCTTCATAAGACAGCTACCTTCGTATCGCCTTGTCAGTCATTCATGGAAGGTATCACAATGTCTCCTCCTTGGGAACTTACTTTGCAAGTAAATTAAGTTCCTTAAAGAAAGGTATAATCTTGGGCCTCATTGTTAATACGCATGGCAAAAGTTAGAGATGCGCCATGTGTGTAAGGAAATAGGAATATGCAGCTATTCGCTCTTGTGCATCTCCCCTAACTTAATCGGCCTTCCATGGGGTTGCATCACATCATACCTAGTAGTTAGGGAAGGGCTTCGTAGATTAGCTCAAAAAGTCTAATCAAGAATTAAGATGATCTTCCTTGAGTTCGCACATAGTTCTACGAAAATCACTGAAACCTATGGCATATATGATAGATTGAAGGGAATGGACAATGAATCTAATTTGTTGCTATGTAGGACATGAGTTCTGATTTGTATCATTCATCCGTGATTTAATGGACTTTCAGAAGAAGGACCTACAACACTCCAGTCCCCAATTCACGACATAAGACGTTGATATCCTGCTATCTATGCCCTATACGCTTCGTAATGCGAGAGTATTGCGAGTTAATGTGGTTTGGATTTTTCTTTATAGATGGGAAGATGAAGCCTTAAGCTAGCAAACTTGCAGACGGACCTTTCTAGTTTCCCAACAAGGTGGTTGGTTATGTGCTATGCGAACTGGGAATTGGTCCTTGGGCCGGAGCCAGGTTCACAGGGTAAATTAACTCAAACTGATTAAAATAAAAAATTAACTAGAAAATGACATTAATTATAGACGTACTTGATTATGAATTGCTCGTCACTCTGGCATTTCAACCAAACCAATAACTGGAAATAGAATCTGAAAAGTGATTGGTCTGACTGACTTGAGGAAGGAAAAAAACTATATATGTAATAAAAAAAAACTAGCCCAAGGCAGAGATGCTGGCTAATTTTCATTAGCTCCTCAGGACTGATCATCTGATGACTTTGCTTCTCCCAGTAAACTCTTGCCCACTCCCCTAGTACTGCAACACCAAATCAGTACTAGTGATAACCTGACTCCCTCAACGCAAACACTCGAGTCACAGCTCCTGGCATCTTCAGCCAGACAAATCTTAAAAATGGTAGGGGAGCAGGCAACTCTACCTCCACGGCATTCATGGGTTTTATGAATGTCAAATCTATTTTAGACTTGGTACAGGACAGCCATGCCCCAATGTCTGGTCTATTTTAAGTAATCTTAACAGCCCTACCCATCAACCACCAATCAAAACTGCTGCTTTGCTTGCCAAACCGCATCTAGATATTTCAGCTACCCGTGACAGGTCTAATCGCATCCTTAAATTCTCACTTCTGAGCAGTAGCATGTCTTTACGCACCTTTTTTTAATTTCTGTTCTCTTACTTTTAATTCCTACTCCCATCGTTGTTGATCGTGGTTAATGCAAAACTTCAACAATTTCCAAGAAGAACCAGACTCTGATGGAGCTTAAAAATCTAGGGACTAATAATGGTGCACTGATGAGATGAGAAGGATGAGCCGCGCAAATTGCGGCTTGAAGATTGTTTCAGACAATTTTAGGCCAAAAAAAAAAAAAAAAGGAGAGAGTTCCCTAGATGATGAGATCATATCCGTAATTGGGCTAGTTGCAACATAGACGGGAATTTGATATAATCCCAGAAAGATATGCTGCCACTCTGAAAAAAATGCATTGAAAACTCCTAATAACTATTACTGATGCACTATATCAGCTCAACCACCAAGCATTAGTGAACACTATAGTACTGACATATTTTAACTTCGAAGATTGCACAAGTTTGAGGGGTCTGTTTAATGTAGTAAAGTAGTAGTCGACGAGTCGTAGGGTATTAATCAAAGGAAGGCGAGAATCCATATGTGTCTCTGCGTGTGCATGTACTGAACTACTACTGTGTGAGTGTGAGTGTGAGTGTGAGTGTGTGTAGAGAGAGAGAGAGAGAGTTGAGGGTGGTAAAAAAAAATTTTTTTAATTTTCAGAAAATGACAAAGTTTAACCTTTTTTCACGGAAACGCATGAGATGATGGGGAAGCAAGAAAACAAAGGGCAAACAAGATGAACTACCAATTATTGATGAGAAAAAGAGGAAAGGCAGGGAATCTTCTCTGCAACATCTTTCAGTTTTCACCACTTCGATTATACTTTTGTAACTTAAACTTGCTAGCATAGATAACTAAACTACCTCTTGAAATAATAATGAGAAATCAAACAAAACATTGCGCCGCATTAACAGGCAATTCAAGAAAAAAAAAAGTGATCAGAGTTTCACGGGAGAAGTTTTACACGGCCATGCAGGGTTTTGTAACAGCGGTAAAAAAAAAAAAAAGAAAGAAAAGAAAGGGTAAGAAGTCATGGAAACTGGGTGGTCTTGACTTTCGTCTAATATTCCTCCAATTGTGGCATGAACTTTGAAATATGCATATAACGAGCAATTCTAACTATTTTAAGACAAGGGACGTTTACCTAAACCGAGAAGGAAGAATTCACGCCAATCGTGGAGCAGAATTTGGTGGATTTGCCGGGTTCATCGTCAACGGTAGCTACAGATGTTAAAATAAAATGATAATGGTAACTACCATGCTGTAGACATCGCGTCAAGAAAGGACATTGAATTTTGAGGGAGAGTAAGTAGTATACAATTATGAGAAAATTACCGCGCGGCCTGCAGCCTGCAGAGATAATATCTGAAACAACCAAAACCAGCTGTGCTGCATCCTGCAGGTGCAGGCAGGCAATTCTGTGCACAATTGGGGTGAAGTCCTGAGTGGCCATGTCTTCCCACAGCTTCCTTGAACTTCATTGCTTGATGAAAAAAATCCCAGAAGACAAAGAGGGAGAGATGGGTGGATGGATGGATGGATCAAATTCAGGCTGAAGTTCAAGAAAGCTGTGGAAAAGCATGACAGGACTTGCAAAATTCATGATCAAAGTCTGCAGTTCTTAGATCTCATACAGATAAAGACTCTGAATTCCCAAAGGGATGTCGTTGATATAAGCAATAAATTAAGAGGGAGAGGGAAGAGAGTTGAGAGTAAAGGAAGAGGAGTGCGAAGAAGTGAAGGCATGCCCATACATATTCCTCATGGACCACACTAGCATATGTAATCTGTGGAACCCCAGCTTTATAGAGACGGAAGGGGAGGGGGATAGTAGGGTTCTCCTCACTCTCGCTCACTATTGCTAAATCTTGCCCACACATTGCCCTCCGCTTTTACTTGTGTCTAGTGCTTAGTTGTGGTGGGGCAGCTACTCCAACGTTCTAACCCAAAATTAAATTGTTCAACTGCAGCTCATGTATCGAATTTTATTTTAGATTCAATCCCTCCCATGTGATAATCCACTTCAGCATTCAAAAAACTAATGGATTCAAATCACTTGATAGTAAAAAATTGAACATCTGAATTAATTAATTGGTTCAGAAAATTTTCTAATTAGCAAAACTTACTCCCAAAATTAGGTGACAAGATATTCAGTTACCACTGAATGCGACATGCATTCAAATGTATTAGATTTAATACTCAATAATTTAATGAATTCAGATTTCAATTTTATCAAACGCACCCTAACTCCATTGGTTCTTGAGGATAAATTTCATACTTTTAACACGCTTTTTCCAATTTCGTGGCTCTTGCGAAATAAATAAAGAGGCGGGCACGCACGCCATCAAATTCAAACATTAGCATCTACATTTCAATTGCGTAGACTTGGGATTTTTTTAGCGTATGAAATTTTAAACTTTTTATGGCCAGTCGGACGGTAGGTTCACCTCTTATTACGTGTTGATCTAAGAACACAGATACAATGGAATAGAATAAATTCATTTTAATCTACGAAATGATGAGACTCTTATACCTTAAGATTTAATTGGAAAATTAGAGCAGGGTTAGATGTTGATGGAATGAAAAGAAAGAGGGGTAATAATACAATATGATAAAGACCCCATCCCCGTCACATGCCAGCCATGTGGGCATGATCTTATACAAATTTATTGGGAATAAAAGGGATGGGGTGCTTATGGTCCCCCTAGTTCTATGCTTCTTCCATACATCATATATCCATCTTCTCGCTAACATACATTATTATTATTATCTTCCAAAAAATAAATAACTGTCAACCCTAAAGAGACGAATATTTATTTAGATCCTACTACAATGCAACTGTGACCATTCTGGAATACTGGGGATCCTCATTCATGCATGTGCATGATTTTTCTCTTTACCCAACTTACCCATGCAAGACTCAGTCCCATGGATAAATTTGTTTTTCCTTCTGAATACCGGGAGTTACGATTTTATACCATTTGATTGGCCAATGATATTCTGCTGCCAGAATGTGTGTTTCAGCTGAAACTGCAATCATTTTTTCTTTTAAAATAAACTATAGAAAGCCGGGTACAGTTTATATGCCAATCAATTTATATCCCTATTCAGACGCGCACGCATCACAAAAAGAAAGCCGGTGTCCATAGCATTCTTTAAAAAAAAAAAAAAAAAAAACCCCTCGCGAGCATTTTGTCAAAATTTATTTACTTACGTCATCAACCAATTTTTTATATTTAATGCCTTTTCTAATGCCTTTTTTCTAATTTCTTTGTTTCTTTTGTTGGGTAGTACTATTAAAAGGATAATACTGCTGATAAGACCTGGTAGTTAAAGTTACAATCCTCAAAATTAAAAGTCTTGAATTGAAATTTTACTAAATTAATGTTACTTTTGTTATATTTAGTGTTGTTGAGTCCATTTAAGGACGAACCCCATAAGGGAACCCTCAAAGTCCTTGAAATTATATATTTTTCTCATAAAATTTTCAAAAATCTCCTTTATAAAATAAACTTTTCCCAGCAAATTTTTCAGTATTCTTTATCTCGACTTTGAAGTATTTACGTGTATGAAAGTCGCTCTCCCAAAGCATATTTTTTGTAATTCTATCGCTGGTCACACTTTCTCACTTGGGATCCTCAGTGCCAACTTCTATGTTTATGTCATGTGTTATATTATTTAAGTTATCATGTGCTATTTATTTAAGTTTTCTTTACCACTAGATTTGGCATACAATGTGAGCCCCGTATGATCATTTAAAAAGTAAATTGAAAAGATAATAGTAATAGCAAATAGAGGAGGCATGCGTGGGCAAAATATTAATCTACCATGTATATAAGAAGGAAAGGAGGTTTAGTTCTTTGCCTCCCTTGTTGCCACTTGACTTTTCAATAATTTGACAAGTGGCAGAAGTCTAATATTTTTCTTGCATATGGTTTCCTTGCCTCTTGCATATCCCCCTCTTCTTTTTTCTTTTTTTTTTTTTTGCTTTTTTTTTCTTGCCAAACTGAGCAAGTTTGGCTCTTTTATTCTCCTTTTGAGCCTAACGAATTGTTTTAACCTTAATGATTTGACTACGTGAGTCTATTGTTTAATTCATCACCGTTAGATTAGTTTTAATACAATAACATTACATTATAACCCTTGGATCAATTTTCATTCGTTCTAATTGTCTACCTATTATATAAGAGACATGGGAATTTAATGTAAAACTCTCATTTATTGACATATGATATAACTCTCCTCTGAGGAATCTATGATTTATCTCCCATTTTTTATTTCCATACTTCTATCTTGATGGAGCAAGACAAAAGATGTACCATACATGATAAGACAAAAGATTTCAATTGCAAGTCATGTTGCATAACTACAAGAACTTCTACTGTTTTTATATATTATCTAATTTATGACTATAAGATCAACCTTTATAGATTAATGAAAAAATTTTAATCCTTGGATATTGATTAATTATGTTTGATTAGTATCTAACCAACTATTACATTTAAACAATTCTTTTATGTAATCAATTTAAGTCTCTTTTTCTATTTCTTTATAAATCGTTTCTCAACGTTGCATAGAAAAAATCAGATTTCTTCCTTCCCAATTGCATTCAACTATGCACTTGTTTATTAATCTCAAGATTAGTGATAGATTTAATAGATGCTATGTTTATTGTCTCCTTGATTTAGAAGAGTTAACTTCATAGATGAAATTTCTTCTGATGCTCAATTTTTCTCGTATTTTTGTCTATTATGTGTCACAAAATTTTGCTATTATATGTTGAATTAAATTATTAGGGGGCCTAGGCGGCTGTGCCTTGCACAGCCGAGGTACCTCTGGTAATTACTACTAATCAAGAGGACCTAAACTAGCGAGCTCACTGCTGAAAAATTTACTCCATAAAAGAGATTTCAAAAATAATTGACGCGCCCGTATTTGTTGCTGTTGAGGGTGGCCCACCTGATGTTAGTTGGTGGATGGCGGGATCCACCTAAGCCACCGGATTGATATTTAAAGAGAAAAGGTTTTCACTCCCAATGGTCAGGTCCACCTCATCACCCGTGTCTCTGATTATTTTAGATTTTTCTTACCGCTACTTTTCTCTTTCTCTTGTTGTTTTGTTGTTTTCCAGTTTTCCTTCGACCCACCCAACTTGGATTATGTAATGCAACGCAAGGCAACCAAAATGGAGTACTCATCTTTTTGTCCCTTTGAATTTTCTACCACTATTTGAACCGTCTTGATTCTCTTGAGCTAGTTGCAACATTAATTCAAATGGTCTTCGTTGTAACATATTCATAAGATGCACAACATTAACATCAATCATATATTACTATCGGGGCAAATTCATATGACATTGTGTTAGCATCATGCCACTAATAATTGTAGTTGTTGGGATTCAAATATTTGCTTTTATCGTCCACTTTAGATTCTTTCACAAGTTCAAGTTGAAGTATAATTCACTAGGGATGGCATTAATATTATCTCCTTTTTTTTTTGTTTAATTTTTCCTCCTTCGCCTTCCTTGTTAATAAAAAGAATGATGCCAAAACTATATATATATATATGGCTCAGTTTGGATCAACTGTTTTTTGGGATATTTTTAAAAAAATTTACTGTAGCAGTATATAAGAAAAACTTTTACTATAAATATTTTTTGAAATATTTGATATATTGTACGAATTAGATGTTTTTAAGTCATTTTAATTTTGTATTACTGTAACATTATATTTGAAAAAATTACCAACCCAAATGGACGGATAGTTGGTGATATAAGAGTTCAAACACCTTCACTAACCGCAATTGAAAGATAATTCAATTATGTGTAGTTGAGAAGAGGGTATATTTTTGGTGCATTCATGATTCAACAAGCTTCAAATAGGTATGGAAGGGCATGTTCTCCCTTGATGTTACGAAACCGTAATAGAATAAGAATTAATTAATTAAAAAAAAAACTATGAAAACAACTGAAGATTATTAAATTGGTCATAGTGCAAGGTCGTTTTATCTCAAGGATATTTTAATCGAGCTTTAACGGGACTAAGCCAACCCTATATTAAAAGTTGTACTGCGTCATCTTGGACGGACTATAGCCTTTTACAAGGAGTAGTATTTTATGATTTTTACTTTACCTATGATGATACGATACGCCCACGTAACTACCACTAACGTCTTGTCCCTGGGGCAAAATCCTCACCTTGCCTCAACCTTACATGTCGTCCTCTCACATCCATGAACGCTCTCTCTTGCCCTGGCTTCAAAATGGTAAATCTAAAGGCGTTCCATTTTTACTCGGTGTTACTTACTCTTTTTTGTTCTTTTTTTTTTTTATTAATCTGAAGACTATATATCTTCTGATTTAAGCATCGGAGTGGTTGCAAGACTCGATCCATTCCCTCATTTTGCTTCTTCTCGATGTGCAGAATTATGTGAAAGTTTGAACTCAAGCATCGACCCTCAACAGCCTGATCACATTTCCTCGTCACATGAACTAAAATGAGAACATCAAGGGATGTTGTTCCCTTAGTATTTTCAAGACAAACTTGATGATGATTGGAAAATTAGTTCTTTTTTTTTTTTTTGGTCTGGTTGGTTTTATTGTCAAATCTCAAATTTTCATGTCACAACGGTATTTGAAGAAATATCAAGATTAACCTTCTATTGTCAAACCAAATACTATCAGAATTTGAGTTTTATTGGAGTATTATTGAGTGTGTTCAATAGAAGATTATTAGGAAAAAATTTTTAAATAATATTACTGTATTTTTTT